ACAACAACAACAACCACCCCCCCCTCTAGCGAATGATGATGGATACCACGTCCCTCTCTACCTGGTGATGATGGACCGCCCCCCGTTCTTCTGTACGACGAGAAAATCACACGAGCCAGCCAATGAACAGACGCACGAGCCTACTGCAGGTACTTGNCCCTCTCTACCTGGTGATGATGGACCGCCCCCCGTTCTTCTGTACGACGAGAAAATCACACGAGCCAGCCAATGAACAGACGCACGAGCCTACTGCAGGTACTTTTGTGCAACCACCACAAAAAACTATTCCACCTCCAACTCCAGTAGATACACAAACTTTATTTCGATACTAATTTCAAGTAATTTTCACCGTCTTGTTCTCCGTCATACAAACAAAACGGCCGATGGAGCAAAGGCCTATCGCGTGCCCCCTTTTTCAGTGTTAATTTCCTTGCTGTTCCCGGTCCACGAAGGCCTAAGAAACACACTTTGATCGCAAGCAACTTCGAGACGCGCAAACCCACGACCCCACTGGCACATCTACACACGTATCTACGTGCGATAGCCCACCGCCGGCAGATTCCACGTCAACCAACTGTCTGTGTTGTATTTGTAAACATTGCGTTCCGCACAACTAGAGGAGAATACTTCTGTATGCTGCTCGGGAAATCGTAGAAACACAGGTGCTGCTGTACACTACAGCAGTAGTACTTGCGCTAATTATCCTGGACACATAATATGATATGATACATCTGGCGAGAAAATGGAGCATACCGTCCGTTACTGTGTAGACTTGAGGAACATACGCTACATATGTTATAGTCTAGTAGTACTTGAATCTAGATGACTTCTGTCCCAAGTCCGGAAGCAACTGGCAGCCACGAAATAATAATGGCTGTGACTGACGTCTTCAGACAATGCAAGAATTTTCTCCGATAAGAACGCGACGTGCCGTACAAGCAGGAGAATAGCAAGATCGTGCATCGCATGCGGTGCGGTGTTATTCAAAGGACAATGCAAGATCGTGCGGTGCCTCTCATGCGGTGTGGAGTTTTGCAAGGGATATTGCGGTGGGTGCAGACACCGGAAAAGGGCGGGTGGAAACGACGCGGTTCATTACAATGACCAAAAACTCACCGGCTTGATCCTTGTCCTCGACGATACCCAAGTGGCGCACCATGTATCCCGCGTAAGCGATCACGCCTAGCTGGACGATCCAAGCGCTGAGCAAACCGACGGTGAGCACTGCCATGGGCATGAACGGAAAGGATGCCATTCTATCCGCGCTGCTTCTCTTGGTCACCCCCTCTCAGTACTCCCGATCAGGGAACAGGGGTGGGTGTCCTCCAGGATATTGCCGCACAGATGTTGTGGATGCGAAGCGAGTTTTCTCTAGTCTATGTATTATAGTAGGCGTCCGCCTCGCAGACCAGCAGGCTTACTCCCTCCTCTCGCGCAGGGGGGGCACGAACAAAGAACGAACCGCACAAGTTGAGATGCAGGTAATCTTCGGGTTCTACTCCAAAGACTTCTACGGCCGGCCGGTGGGCGGCAGCTGTCTGCTGGGCATTGATGTGGGCTGCGGCAAAGCAGCCTACCGTATGCCGTGACGTCACGGAATTTTGGAAATGAATATCGGAACACATGTCGGTCGACATACACTAGCAGCATGGACATTCAACATTACTCAGCAGCGACTTCGTCAACGGACGCAAAGCGGATCGCCTTGTCTAGAGGGCTTGCCTGCGGCAACCTTGAGGCCTTCATTTTGTCGAACCTCGGACTTTCAATCAATCTGAAATACACCCCGAGGGAGCGGACCGCACGTGCCCGCCAAAGATTTATTTTCATGGGAGACCGGCAATGTGCAGCCATTCAAAACCTCCATCAGTTTTTCAGAACATACAACACCGGCACGGGTCGCCCTGGTGGTCTACTGCTGTTGTTATCCCCGAAACCTTCTAGAGGTCACGTCAGGGGTTCGGATCCCGGCGAAAGCGAGCTTTTCTTCCAAACTGAGTTTTTCTCTCGCTTCCGCTCCTGGCCTAATGGATAGCGCCGGGAGGGCAGAGTGGGGCTCTTCTGTTGTTGTTGTTGTTGTTGTTTCTCACATTAGCTCTAAAAAAAAAAGATTGGGAGCCCGTGGTCTCAAAACCCGGCATACACGACCCCATGAAGAAACAGAAAAAAATAGGGTACAAAAACCACTCGGAAGAGAAACAAAATGATAGAAAGAACGACCAGCTACCGCACCAAACGAGAAAGAGCGTCGAGGAGACCGATCAAAATAAAATAAAAGGAGAACGGGGAACGCTTCCCACACCCGCCTACAACGCCGGAGGGTTCCGTGCCGGGTTCCCGCCGACCAGGCATCCCCCGCCCTGCACCACACCCCAGGGGGTGCAGCAAGACGGGGGGCGAAAAACAAACACATATATATTCCCAAAAAAAAAATAAAAAATCGAAGGACAACGTACACCAGTACCAGGTACTACAGCAGTGCAGTATGCACCAGCGCATTAGTGTAGGGTAGGCACCGCACCAAAGAGGCAGCAGAGGTGGCAGGCAGCCAGCAAAGGAAAAAACAAAAATAACAAGGAGCTCGAGGTATCGTCCAAGATCATCGTAGAGAGGGCATGGAGAACAAGAAAGAAAGAAAGAAGAAAAGCACAAAGAGAGGCCGGAGGCAATACTAAGAGCATACAGCTTACGGCAGGGAAAAGGGACTGTGTGACCACGGGTTGGAGTAAACGGCACCAGTTCTGTGAGCGCTGATTTGAAGTGAAGAAAAATACTCCAGAGTACAAAATACTGTATATTTTCACAGGACCTCACCAGCATCCAGGACCAGCATTATGATGCAAGTACAGGGGGCAAAAGGACTAAACTTCCCCCGCGTGTTGCTATGAGTCCTAACTTGTTCGCAGGGCGCGACCTCCGCGTGCAAGTTTCACCCGGGCAGCCCAAAATGAGGCCACAAATTTAGCTACACGAATTGCTTGTTCTGATCCTTCTTGTTTTTTCTTCAACTTGCACAGCGGCATGCATAGACTAGACTATTTAGAAAAGTAAAAAATACGAAAGTACAAGGAGCTCATCATGCTGTACATCCCCAGACTCATGTATCTGTGGAAGACAGGATTTGTTTTTTTTTCCTCCTGCGAGATACCGTGAACAGTGACCGCGAACGGTGTCAGTGTACAGCCGTTCAGGGCTACCCCTATTTGCACCACGCACTTTTTTTTTACTGGCACGTACTGCTGACCCTTGGGGTCCTTCCGGAAGGCTACCCCCCAGGCTGGTGGTGCGCACGTTCCACTATTTATTTATTTATTCGTCTCTGATTCTTTTGTTTTCTTGTATTTTATCGCTCTGCTGACCCTTGGGGTCCTTCCGGAAGGCTACCCCCCAGGCTGGTGGTGCGCACGTTCCACTATTTATTTATTTATTCGTCTCTGATTCTTTTGTTTTCTTGTATTTTATCGCTCTGCTAACCCTTCCTTGGGGTCTATTTTATTTTGGTGTACCTTTTCTAGGTACGTTAGCCTGTTGTTGTTGTTGTTGTTGTATTCACATCAATAACCATCCCGGTCTCTCTATCCAGTACCTCCTTCTGTCTCAATCTCTCCGTACTAATCCATCACTTGACTCGGCCAATTTCCGTGGTCACAGGCTAACGTACCTAGAAAAGGTATACCAAAATAAAATGGACCCCAAGGGTCAGCAGAGCGATAAAATACAAGAAAACAAAATATAATCAGAAACAAATAAAATAAAA